AAATGCTTTTTTCAACCAAAAAATAAAAATAATAATAAAAATAATAATATAAATAGCTTTAAATTAAAAAGGTTATTTTTAGTATAATAGCTAAAGTTAGGCTATTAATTAAAAAAAGTAGTATAATAAAAAGTTTGATAAAAAGTGTTTAAATTGTTAAAGTTTTTTAAATTTTCCGATTTTTTAATTTTTAAAACTTCTTTTTTTTTTTTTTTGTAATCGTTTTATATACTTTTTTAGAACGCAGTTTATATAAATCTAATATAAACTGCTTTTTTTGCTTTAATTGTTTCTTTAGTTTGTTAAGCTTAACAGTTAATTAAGCATTTTGCTGTTAAAACAGTTAAATAAAAGCTTTTTTTAGTTTTATTATATTAATATTAAAAAGATTTAACAGCTTTTAGCTTTTATTATTACTTAAGAATGTTTTGTTACTATTCCGTAAATAACCTGTATATAAAAGTTTTATAAAAAGAATAAAGCGAGCCGGTTATTTTAAAGCTATAGTAGTTGTATATTATAAATAACCTTTAAATAAAAGCTTTAAAATTGTTACGTTTAGAAAATCTTTTAAAGTTAAATATAATATAATATATATTTTATATAATAAGTTTTATATAAAACTAAAGCTTGTAAAAGCAAAAAATAGTATGTAAAACATACTTAAATAGATTATAGTAATATAGGCAGACAGAATTAAAGAGAACACACTCTGATTGGTGGTTTAGTTGGTAGTGCACCTGAATTATGACATTTAAACTGTATATTTTTAAATGCTTTAACGTTTAAAAAAATCTTAAAAAACTTTTTGTAAGCTTGTAAAACTTTTTTAATATAATTAATTATAAGCTGTTTTTAGTTAATAAATTGCTTTTAAAACAACTTGCTAATTAAAAAAAGGTTAAAATTTTTTGCAAGCTTTTTACTTTAAGTATAAACAAAAACTTTTTAAACCTAGTCGAGTGCTTTTTTTTTTTTAACAGCTTAGTTAGGTTTTTATTGTTAAGCTAAATATATGTACGTTAAGTTAACAATTTATTAAATAAATTAATTTAAAACTTATGTTTACGTTTACAAAAAGTTTTAATAAACTTTGTATTTATTTTTTAAACTACTACTTTTAGTTTAGTAATAGCAGTGTTAAACTAAAAAAAAATTCCTTGTTAAAGTTAAATTAAAAAAAGTTGTTTTTATAATATTTATTTATAGCAGTTTTATAAAGCTAATAATAATTTAAGCTTAATTATGTTAAATATAATTTACATTTTTCGATTTTAAATTAAAAGGTTTTAAAAAAACCTTGCTTTTTTATGCTTAGCGTAAAGCCTTTTTAAAATAGTGTTTAAGCTTAAAAAGCTTTTGCTTAACATGTTTAAAAAGAAATATATTTAAACAAGTTTTTAGTGCGTTAATTTTAATACATTTTTTAAGTAAAAAGTTAAAGTTAAAAATATAAAAAAACGTTAATTTAACATAGTTTAAAAAATACGTTTTTATTGCAAGCAAGCTTAAAAAACTTGTTTTCGGATTTAAAGCTAAGAAGAAAAATATTAAGCTTAGTAATAATACCGAAAGTTTGATTTTTTTTAAGATTTACCCGTCAAACCTTTGCTAAAATTGTTTAATTTACTGCATCGTTAGCAGCAAATACTACAGCAAGACAAATTGTTTAAAGCTGTAAAATGTAGTAATCAGTAATTTTAGCTACAAGATCTACGTTTGCGTTGTTAACACTTCGAGTAAATGTATAAATTAACCCCGGAATGTTAACAAGAGTAAGCTAAAGACGCAATAAGCTTTTAATTTCGATGCTTAATATATTTTTAGCAAAAGCTTAAGTTAAAACTAACGTATTTAACCCGTTTTTGTTTGCAATTCCTATAGTAGCTATTGCTAAATCTATAATCTAAAATAGGTTGCTAAAATCTATAATAAACTTAGTAAAAGCTTTAATAAACCCTTTTTTATTAGAGGAGCGGGCGTTATTAAGAATAATTTTAATAGTAAGTGTATTTACAAGATTTCGACGAAGACTAATCTTTGTAACAAAACGGGTGCACAAATTATTATTTTGTAGGAAGGGAATCTCTGTAAGAGCTTTTAGGGTAGAGCTTTTTCCTAATGACTGGTTACCGCAGACAACGATTTGCGGAAAGGATAGAATACTATTAAGTCCGCATTTTCGAACCTGAGCAACGGTGTCAAGGACCAGTCGTTGTTTGTCAGTCTGAAGATCCTTGAGGGAAGAGGTAACGCGAAGCTCCTCGATCGGAGGAGTCTGTGGGCTAGTTGGGGAAACAGAGGACTCTTCTGGTGACTGCATCTTGCGAGGGTTTGAGAGGGGCCTTGTTGATGAAAGATTAGAAGTCGGAAAAATAACAGAGGGGAGATAAGCCAGCCTTTATACTACACCAACAGATTGTCGAAAGAGTATTTGGGGATATTTTCTCAATTGATGCCTAAGAACGAATCAAGGATGTCCCCGTCGGCAGCGTTGCTTCCTCTCAACTGAACACAAACGGATCGAACGAGAAGACCAATCAATACTAGTAGATGCCTCGCGCCTAGCAGCACATCGGGATCCCTGCGGCTTTCCACGGCGTCGTACTCGCTTGCGGGGCCGGTATGTTGTAAACGATTGGCATCAGAAGAAAGAGCGCACCGCCTCAATAATAGTGTCTTCGGGAGATACCGTCCTTCGAGCCTGATTCCATGTTACAGTGGTGATGTAGTCAGAAGTCGGGTAGCGGGGCGGTAGGTAGCCTATGACCCGTGCATAGTTGTCAAACGGAGTGGTAAACGGAGAAGATACAAAGCAAACGGGGCATGTAGTCTACCGAACATTCAAAGGCCATCCCCATTTATCCGTCCCCAGGGCTGTCCATGTATCATACGCCTGAATTTCTAGACTGGCTGCCTAACAGAGCATGCAGTCACCCTACTAGCTGCAGTAACCATTCCGTTTGTTCTTGAATATAGACTTGCGCGGGCCAACTCACTAGTGTCTACAGCTAACCTTTCGTGTCCGGTTGTTGTTGGAATGGAAGCACCTTCGATTCATACAAGGCACGTGTTCTAGGCCCAGTATCTGTTATATTCAAGTGTGGTAACCACTTGAAGTGGAGCATGGCCAATATAGAGTAAAACCGTAGCCAATGGAGGCGAACCGTGTTGACTGCCTATTTCCGTAATGAGCACAAGAAGGATCCATACAAGCAAGATACGAAGCCCTACTGTTGATGTTTGCCAACCCCACATTCACAACGCATACAGGACATACAAGATACAAGATACAAGTTGCAGATATATAATGAAGCAATTGATAAATTCAACTATGTATCTACGTAGCACCCGTCTTGGCTTCCCATAAATCATCGTCAGAGGACGATGGAATATAGTACTGATCCAGAACACTGCGTAAAAGTGCGGGCATCCTCGAGAAGAGGATCGTTCTGGGGTCTCCACTAAGCACCGTTTGGTACCTAGCTTCATCGACGATTCGACCGGGGACCTAACCAACATGACGACCAACAGCGGAATTCCAGGGCGGAGTCGCTGCCCGAAAAGCTACGAAACGAGACGGATCTATTTCAGGACAGAATGAAGTTAGAATTAATGCTGAAGAACAACGAAGCAACCATTCGGGTACTTACAACGGCATCATATCAGGCCCAGTCGAGATATCTGGTTGGGTAGAAACCTGAATACCTAACTAGTGAGTAGAGGTTGGTTAGCGAGATGGCACCCAAAGTGATACGATTGACAGGACACAATAAGTTAGGTACTGGAGAGCAGGGAAATATGTTGAAAACAAAAACTACAGCTCTAGCGCCACTTGACACTAAAGTAGTATTCTAGTGCGATTGATAGGACACAATAAGTTAGATACTGGGGGACAGGCAAATAGACAGACGGAGTGATGAAGAGAGAAGAGTAAATGAGGAGAGTTGGATTGAGCAGAGAAGAAGAGTGAACGAGGACAGTTGGATTGAAATGTGGGGGGGGGGGGAGAACGGGAGGCAAACGAAATGAGAGAGGGTGAAGAAAGTGGTAGCTGCCTACAATGTTTGCAAGAAGGTGAGAACTAACCTAGGTACTTAGGTAACTACCTAGTTACCTAGACCTACGGATACACGACGATGCTCAGGTACGGCCCAGTACAGCGGCAGTTTCAGGTACCATCACATCAGTACGTCATAGGCAAAACATGCAGGTAGCGGTCTTCATTATGCACTAGAAAGCAACTTCCAGGCCATGTATCACGCTTTTATAAGTACACGCACAATCTACTTGGTACTTAGTGTCCATGCCAACGCGTGAAATAATTTTGTACAATTAATTATGCGGCTTTTCCGCATTTTAATAATAATAGAAGTGAGCGAGGTGCTTCAGCTCCTTCAGTTATTATGAAAGTATCCCGGCAGCAGTGAATTGGTGTTGGTATGTTATTATGGCTAGCACACGGAGTCAAGGTTGGATGGCAGCCGCGATCCATTTGATGCCGGCAGGGTCCTCACCACCCTTTTCCCCAAGGCAGCAAACGAGGCTATGCTCAAGCAGCGTTCGTTGAAAGTTTTAGGTGGGACATTTCAAGTGAAACGAATGCACTATGACATCTTGTATCATATTACGAAAGAAAGTGATAGGCAACCGTCACTCACACATTATTAATCACTACGCAGGCAGGTACGAAATGAGTGCAAAGGACCTCGTAGTAAACTAGAGCCAAAGGCAAACCGTTCGGGAGCCTGGGGTCTTATTAACCAACATTACTTCTTTGCTACACCAGCTTGAGAATATATTTATTTACCAATTCTATATCGTATACTTGTAATACTTTTATTTAAAAAACAAAGCTGTTTTTAGATCTTGCTGTTGTGTAATAGCCGCTATAGCAAAATAAGGAAAGTTCTCTCGACATATCGAGCCTTTGCTAAAAGGAAAGTAGAAATGGCAGTGAGATAATAGAAAGGTTTCAAAAATAAAAAATAAAAGAACTTTGGACTCCCTAGGATTCGAACCTAGGACCTTCTGCCTCTCACAGTACCGCCGGGTACCCCGGGAACACCCCCCAGGCAGCCAACTAACTTGATTGATCACATAGCGTGACTGGTCGAACAAGTTTTGGCAGTTAAACGATGTAACATGCCTCCAGGTAAGGTGTTTCCCGCAGCGATACTGTGTTAAGGCTGACGCTCTAAACCACTGAGCTAGGAGCCCTGTTTGTTAAATGCCAGCTCTATTAAACTAATATATATCCTCGAGATAGCCTAGCATCTTTCTCTACTCTACCTACCTAGGTGGTATATCAAGCGACTCAATCCACAGGGTACCACCCGCTTTAAACAGTTGACATTTTAGAATTGGCACCGCAAACCATACTACTCGTCAACACTAAACAATAAAGGACTAGAACTACGAAGCCAAGATACAAGGCACCAAGAGCGCTATTTATAAAGGGCTGCTCACAATTGGATAGACCGTACCCGCCACTTTCTCTCCCAAGGGATGAGGATGATACAATTTCCCCTCAAAGCATACACACGCCTTTTCATTCTGGCCCCCAATTTGACGTCAGCCGGTATTCTTAGATCTTCTAGGAGGTACACCGAGGAGAAGGATTAACATAATACACTAACCCAGGCACTATACTGAAAACGGTGGGATCTGGCGCAATTCCTAGTGTAGCATTCGACCTCAGATTATATATAGGGATCAGAGGCAACCTGCAGTTCCACGTGATCACGTGATAGACAGTTCAGCGAAACTGGTCTCCAGATAATATATTAATTCACCTGATTGGATATTTAGCGTCTGAAATGTTTTAAAATTGTGATGTTCAGCTGTTCAGCTAGGTGGAACGTTTCACCGTCGATCATTTAATATCAGCCAAGCATTTTGCCTAAGTTGCCCTGTCGCGATATTTACGAGTGGATACGCCGTATACGGTTAGGTAGTACATGTGCTGGTACTTGGCACGATACACTCGCCAGGATGCAAGACACTAAGAGCCCTAAAGAAGCGCCACGGATCGAGGCGCAGCGGCCTTACCAAGTAGAATACCGAACAGCATCGTCATTTTTCTTGGCTTCGAGATAAATATGGCGGTCACGATCGACATGAAAATGGATGATTCTCCGCGCTTTATGTTTCGGTCAATTCGTGTTCGCGATTTTGCGAGTCACTTCTTATTCCCTACTCCCGTGTTTTACCATCAGAACGCGCCGGAAAACGCTGCTCTTTAGCAGGAACGATACTAGTGCCATGGATCTTTTTATTCTCACCTGCCTACTCGGTGTCGCGAATGCGGAATCGGTAGTCTACGGCCCTAAGGGCGTCGCTGGGAGTGCCCTTGACAGTAACCTCGATACATATTCACTTGGGCTCGTCACCAACGCCCAACAACATCCCAACGTGACCCGCGGAGTTGCGTTCAAGCCCTTCGAACTCGCGGCCGCCTCCCACCCAAATTCCGCACTCGCAGATTTGGAGTGGACATGGCGTCAGTATACCATTCCTCGGGCTGTTTGCTCATTTTCATATACTGAAAAATATCCTTCTAGGTATCAACGTTACCGACTTCGCTGCGCCAAATGCTATAGACTATAATGGGAATAGCGAATTCGTGGATCCTCACATTGTCAGCACAAGTTACGACTTCAATTGGTCCGGTCCCCAGAACCTGTCGGCTCAACTCAACGGCACCGCCACGCGGCTGTGCTTGACGGTGGCGGATTACACCGAGTTACCCGCCAATGTTACGGATGCCTACACCGAAGAGGACACAGGCTCGACCAGCTGCGTTTCCACGTTGGGCCAGGCTTGTGTCGACGCCATATTAGCTAGCGGGGAGTACACGGGCAACGGAACCGAAAGGTGCAAATCACCGGGCCTCTTCTGGGACACCATCCCGGAATGCCGGAGCACGTTCGGGTACGCGAGCGCGGAATCAGGGAGCCTTACCATGGTCTCATTCTCCCTCAACGGTTCCCTGACGAGTGGCGATGGTTGGTGGGGGCAATTCAGTGCTACGCAAAATGGCAGCGCGAGTCCTCAATATTACAGCTCCAGTAATCTTCTTTACGTAGCGCTGTTCAATCCCCTGCTCGCTGTGGAGGGAAGTTTGGAGGACGGGTTCACCCAAGGTCCACAGCTGCTATGCATGCGCGTCAACACTACGGATTCGGACAGCGTCGACACTACGGATCCGGGGAACGGCGACACTACGGATCCAGAGAGCGCGGGTTCACGAAGTATCTTAAACTGGACTGCTTTGGCTATGTGCCTTGTTAATCTTATTTTTGTTATTATTACGTAACCTTAGCACTCTACGGATATTTTATTTAGTTTCTGCCTTTACTCCTCCAGCCGAGCGAGATCTTCAGTGACACAATTGGATCTTAGTAATACTGCCGAGTATATCTAGTTGTGATAACGTGACTGCCAAATAGATATGTACTAATTACCTAGGTACTTAAACCTCACAGTTAGCTCCTCCCTTCCGGGGCACAAAAACCCTTGTAGCTAGGATCTATGTGGCTGCACTCGTGGCCTCCTGGCCACCTATAATAAATTGCGCCGCAGCTCACACAAAGCTACTGGGTTTAGTAGCCACTACCTAATTCCAACAGCTTCCGTACTGTAATTGACTGCCGCAGCGTAGGGTCTAGTCGACTAGTCGAGTTACTGGATGAGATAGTCCTGGGCAAAATAGGAGGGGAAATAGGCTTGGTAGCCCTTTATTGTACATCTAGTCTAAGACTGCAATCTGGTTGACTAGGAAGTTGAATGGCTCGAAGTAGCCACCTGACTTGGTTTGTTTTACACAGTAGTCGTACTCCCATTCAAAAGTCAAGCGCCTAAAATTCGGGTCAAGCTCTGTTTCTGAACCCCATCCCTTTAAAAGTTCCACCATAGACTCTAGACCGTCTTTCTGAACCCTCTCACGTATCGACTGTGGGCAGTTTCCCCCAAACACCCCCATTTCGAAGAAGAGATTGACCATCTCTGTATGTTCTAGCAACAGCGCGTTCAGCAACATCGTCCTCTGGTCCCACATATAGTTATCATTGTTGGCTCCATGTTTGATCAGTTTTCGCAGCATGCTCATGCTTCCGGCCGCGGCAGCCGCGGAGAGAGCCGACGTGGACAAGAGGTCGCCCACATTCAAGCTGACGCCACGTTCGAGGAGTAGATCGACGACGTCTTCTTGAGACATCCGCACTGCCTTCACGAGGGCATAACTGTTCGTCAGGGCCTCTTCGCCGTCGTCCCACCTGCCGACTTCCCATCTGTTATCCAACAAGCACTTTACCATTTCCGGGTTTCCGCACTCCGCATGCCAGCATAGGAGAGATGTGGGTAAGACTGGAGGCGAATCGAAGAACTTTTGGGTATAGGTGAATATCTTCGGGTTTTGAGTCCAGAAGGGCACGTTCATAAGGATAGAAGGATAACCTTTTTGTATGCCGCGCGTGGCTAAGCGGAACATATCTATGTCCCCGCGCAAAGCCGCCCCTTCAACAGTACCCGTTCCTGGTTCTACACCAGGAAAGTTCTCCATAATATTCTCCTGAAACAAAATTACCATATTTTTGTTGCCAGCGTATGCCGCCGAATACATTGGAGACGGAAACAAATCATGTTCAATTGGGCAGCAGCCTTTATCAAGAAGATTTCTAGCGAGGTCGAGATGGTTAAAGTAAGCTGCTATGCTCAGAAGATTCAGGTGTGGTTTGAGAAGGTCACGAGGGCCGGGGGGGTCGAAGGGGTCGAGGGCGTCATCTAATTCGCGATCCCAAAATTTGCTGTTACCCGGGCACCCTGTCGCGCTCTCCAGAACGAGCCAGCAGAGGTCATCAACGATCTTGCTGTCGTCAACCTTGGCCGCCTTGCAAAATTCCTCGGCTACCTCGAGAAATTCCTTAGCTATATTTGCGATGTCGACAAATCGGCCGATTTTTGGTTCTTTCTCATTGCGAACTCTATAGACCAAGTACTTATGCCGCATCTTTTCACGGCCGTGTAAGTGTTTTATAGGCCAGAGCTGCAAGGATTCGTAATCTTTGGGATCATCTAAGACGCGAGTCCTGAATAAAGCAGATTGAAATAAATTATAAAATTCTTCTATAACAGGGCTTAGCATATTGTTCCAGACTCGCCTCAATTTTAATAAAAATCTTACTACAAACGAATTTCAATCTCACTGCTCTGTTCATGCCTCGCCCAAAGCGCAGCGCGCGGTGTCGTGCAAGGATAGAGAAGGCGATAATCTTGCTAAGAATCTCGTAGGGCAGGTCTAGGATATGCATATTTGATGCTGGCGCAACTATCAGTCACAATGCTGAATTGCTTTGGTAATGACAATGTGGTATAAGCGTACGATACTTATACGAGACGAGGATGAGGATGGATGAGGAGTGTAATCTTTAAATACTTAAATATCGATGGTCAATGCCCAGCTGTTAGGTTATGTAAGGGATGTCTTCTTGGGCGTGAAATCTGATTGTTGCTTTAGAAGAGGTATAGTTACACGCGCCGCCGTTGGGCAGCGCGTCCAACATTCGATTGGATTTACTCGCTTCACGTGTTTCGCAGACGACTGGCTCAAGCCCTGACGGTGCGCTATTCGCCTCAACTTAAAAAAACAAGCAAAAGCAAACAAAATCACTACCTAGAACGACCCCTCCCTTACGTCCTTCCAACTTACACACCAGTAGGGCTAGCTACCGAAGCGGTCCCTACCTACCTAATACAGGGAGGGGCTTGCTGGGCTTGCTGGGTGCGTGCGGGTACCATAGGTGCTATAATGAATTTCATTGGCCTTGTTACTCACCGCCAGACCTGGTCTAGCGCATTCCCCTCTAACCTATTACTATGTAGATCGTGGAACACACCACTGTTGTAATCGAAACCCGGTGTATTTAGTAAATACCCAGGTAGGTAGACACGTTTCATTCTCTAATATTCGATAAATACCTACTTAATTGAATATTTACCTCATATTTCATGTTTTTTTCAATGCCCAGGTGTTTGAGAGAGACAATATGGAAACGATAGCCATTGGATCGTTGCTACTTCACTCTTGATGCAATCCCTCAATAATTCATTATCCCGATCAGATAACACCGCTTAGGTTTCATACTCGGATGTTTAGCGACCTAAACCACACTTCCATGCATCTCAACCAAGCTAGATTGAAATGCAAAGTAGAAGAATGA